CACCTGGGGTGTCCCTTAATCCCCTCAATCTCACGGTGTCCCCGAGGTGCCACCACTCACGGTGTCCCCGAGGTGCCACCACCTGGGGTGTCCCTCAATCTCACGGTGTCTCCAAGGTGCCACCACCTGGGGTGTCCCTCATTCTCACGGTGTCCCCGAGGTGCCACCACCTGGGGTGTCCCTCAATCTCACGGTGTCCCCGAGGTGCCACCACCCGTGCTGTCCCTCACCTCCCCTCTACTCCCGATGTCCCCACGTCCCCAGAGTGCCACCACCCCGCTGTCCCCTCTCACCGTTTCCTCGCGGCTGCGCCGGGGGCGCGCTCGGGACGCCCGGGCGGGGGTCGGGGCCGGGGGTCCCGCGAAGGCGCCCAGGCCGGGGGTCGAGTAACTGGGGCCGGGGAGGTCGTAGGGGTCCAGGGGGGGCGGCTGAGCCATGGGAGCCCCCGGGGCCACCGAGGAGATGAGCGTGGGCTGCACCAGCCACTGCAGGTCCTGGCTGGTGGTGATGGCCGTCACCGTGGGCACGAAGGAGCCGGGCATGTCCCCCAGGGCGCTGCACTCCTGCGGGGGACACGGGGTCAGAGAGGGTGGGGACAGCGGGGGACAGCGGCGGGGACAGCGGGGGACATCGGGCAGGGGACACGCTGCCACCCGGTACCGCGCTCTGATGGCGGCGGGGGACACCAATGTGTCCCCCAAAACGCGCGGGTGAAGGGTGAGTGTCCCCTGGTGGCATTGTCACCCCCGCCGGGTAAAGGGTGGGTGTCCCCTGGTGGCATTGTCACCCTGCCGGGTGTCCCCTGGTGGCATTGTCACCCCCGCCGGGGTGAAGTTTGGTGGCATTGTCACCCCGCTGGGTGTCCCCTGGTGTCACCCCCGCCGCTGTGGCCAGAGCGCTGTCACTGTCATTCCCTGCAGGGAGGGGACAGCGCTGTCCCCAGCTGGTGGCACTTGGTGGCACAGGCTCTGCCTGTCCCCGWGATGTCCCCAGCTCATCACCATCATCATCCCCGTGCAAGGGTTGCCGGGACACTCTCGTGTCCCTGTCACCCACGTGTGACACCCTCGCGTTTCCGTCACCCTCGTGCAAAGGCTGCCTGATCCCTGACACCCACGGGTGACACCCTCGCGTCCCTGTCACCCCATTCTGGGGGTCCCTGCACCCCCGTGCCGGAGCCCCCAGCCCATGCAGGGACCCCCAAACCCATCCCGGGGGTGCTTTGAGCCCCCCAAAATCTGTCACCCCCCCCAAAAAAAATCCGGGTGTGGGAAGCCCCCACACCCCCCCTTGTCCTTCCCTGCCGTGGAGGTGACACCGCGGGTCCCCAGGGGACACCGCCACCCTTTGGGGACCCCCTCGAGCCCCCAATTCTGGGGATGCCCCCGCGATCGCCGTGCGGGGGCGTGGCCAACAGCGGTGGGCGTGGCCATAGCGGATGAGGGGGGCGTGGTCACGCAATGAGGGAGCGCGACCCGAACACGGCCGCCAATACGAAGGGGGCGTGGTTTACCGCCATGTGGGCGTGGCCACGCCGTGCGTGGGGGGCGTGTCCMTCCTCCCGTCTCCCCTGGCAACGGCGGGGGGGGAGGACACCCAAAAATAACCCGCGCGCTTTGCGTGCGTGCCGCGTCATCGGCGGCGGCGTCACTGCGCGCGCTTACGCACGGCCCCGCCCCCTTTTGCGCGCCCCCCCTCCCCCCCCCCCCCTCCATTTGCGCGCCCCCGCCCCTTCCCGGCGCTCACCTGCGCGGCCCCGGCGGCCGCGGGGCTCCCGAAGGAGTCGAGCGGCGAAAGGTACTGCGACTCGGCCGAGGGCGACGAACTGCAGCGCGACCCCGAGTCGTAGTCCCCGGGGAAACCCTGGAACATGGCCCCGGGGGCGCGGGGGCCGCCCCGCCGCGACAAGGCTGCGGGTCACGCCGTTACCGGCATCACGGGCACGGGGCAATGGGGGATCGGGGGCAAGCGGCTGAAGGCCCGGGGGGGATCGCTGGGAGTTCTGTGCCGAGCCCCGCTTGGCCGGTGCGAGCTGCGGTTCGGCGCGGTGAGCCCCGGGTTGTCCGGTCCGAGCTCCGGTTCGGTGTTAGGAGAGCCGGTGTGTCCGTGCCAAGCTCCGGTTTGCCGGTGGAACGTCCCGGTGAGCCGCTGTGAGCTCCGGTATATCCGTGCCAGGCTCCGGTGCCGCTCTGCGAGCCCCGGTTGAGCGGTACCAAACGCCGCTGTGCCCGTCCCAGGCTCCGGTTCCCAACTCTCAGCTCCGGTACATCCGTCCCAGGCTCCGGTCCGCCGATCCAAAACCCCGCTGCGCCCTTACACAGCCCGGTCCATCCGTCCCAAGCTCCGGTTGCTCCGTGCGAAGTCCCGTTGCGCCCGTCCCGGGCTCCAAAGTTGGCCGGTGCAAAKCCCCCCGTGCGCCCCGTTCGCCGCTACGATCCCCGGTACATCCGTCCCGGTCTCCGCTTCCCCGACACAAAGTCCCCGCTCGGCCGCTGCAAGCTCCGGTAAATCCCTTCCCAGGCTCCGGCACGTCCGCTCCGAGCCCCCGGTGACGCTCCCGCCGCTCCCCCGGTCTCCGGTTTTTATGAATGAACTGCTCACGGCAGCCCCGCCGCTTTATACGGAGGGGCCCCGCCCCCCTTTGCTGACGTCACGGCAGCCGCCGCCGCTGCTCCGGGACTCTCGGGACCCCCCCAAAACCCCCCGGACCCCGCAGCCGCCTTGGCCACCGTCGCCGCCGCCGTTTGAGCCTCCGGGAGCCGCCGCCGCCGTTAAGAGGCTCCGGGGCGGGCTGGGAGCGGGGGGGATCCCTGACCCCGCCCCCCGGAGTTCCTGTGACGCAATTAGCCATATATGGGCTTGTCTGGAGTGTTTGTTTGGTATCCTAGCAATGACGTCACAGGGATTCCCTCCACCGCCCGCCGCCCGCCGCCGCCGCCGCCGCCGCCCGGGCGCGTATTAATAGAAACGGGACCGAGCGCGGTTCTAGAAACGGCCTGAACCGTCC